GGATGCTTGCTGACTGTAAGATCGAGAAACAAGGAAGAGGGAATAAAGGATATCCCGTCAAATGATCGTCTTCAAGGAAATTTGAGTCACAAACCGAGGTGTGAATGATGGTGCATTTATAAAGGGTTTCATGCGCTGCGCCAAAAATTATGGGAAGTAGTATTCGTCCAAATAAAAAAAATCACAGAAACGTAGGGAGTTTTACTAAGACTTTTGGTAGATGACGAAATTCGAGAAGAACTGACCAGCGGAACCTTACCTTATATGTCAAATGTGCACGTTTCACTCATAGGAGACAATAGAAGACATAAGAATCACCATACGTTATGGTTTTCTTCTTTTAGTAAGTCACGCATGTCGCCAATCAAGCCGTGGTTTGCTGAAGGCGGTAATCAGATTATGGATCTTGATAGGGAATCGAGAGATTGGTAAATCGGCTCTTTCGTTACCTCACCTTCAGACTTTTTGTCGGTCTCTACAGTTTCTTTCTTTAGTTGCCGTCCTCTGCACGCGTTCAAAGCGATTGGAACAGTAATCTTTCTTTCCGGTGAGTAACCAGCCTTCATTTTGTTCGCACAGGGTAGAATGGTGATTATCTGGTCGGAATTAGGTGGCGACTGTGTCCTATCAAAATTAAAGGTTGTTACAAGGCAAAAATGTGAAACTTACAGTGCCCTTGTTCCCTGGAGCTAGTTTACTCCACCTCGTGTGTCCTATATAGAGACAGTCTGTGATAATGTAGTGTTACGCTTTATTAAAGACCATATTTCATACTTCGAGTTCGAAGTTCGAAAAGACGAGTTTATCCCTAAATTAACAAAGGTGCAGACTTTTACTGACAGATATATCTTCCATTCTTAGCTGTCCAATTCGAAGAAGCATAATTTTGTACAAATATTTATAAAATATGATTCATTGTTCACTTTGGCTATGAGACATATCTTTCATGCTTTGCTGCCGAATTCGAAGCAGTAGAAGTTCGTTCAAATAGTTATGAAATATGATCATTTGTGCACTTTGGCAATGGGATATTTTTCGGACAATAAAGTCGTCTGAAGTCAGTGGCAGGGTTATCTGTCACTCCGATTTCGATTATTTTCCAGATTTAATCACCTTCCATAGGTGTCAAGACATACACTCAAAAATTCGCCCTCTGCGGTGTAAAAAAGGGGCTGAAATATTTTTTCATAGCAGTTAGCTTTGTAATCCCACTCGCATAATCTCCTCCATTTGTAAACATATGAAAACGTTTCGGCCAGCAACTGGCGCATTTCAGCGCATTTTTCTTGGAGCATTTTTTGGGACGCTTCAAGCTGTTTCAGATGACAAACCAAGATTTTTTATGGCAGACACTCCCCCCGCCCTCCAGTTTTGAGGTGAATGAACAAATGTTTCTGTGCTAGCGTTAATCCACTGACAAACACTTCGAACGGAATATTTTGACTTGCCGGAGCTGCGAGCATTCCCCGTCTCTAACAAATGTCCCAAGCAGTACGTAAGCTGCAAAACCTCTTTTGATCCCAGAAAGCGCCGATGATTCTTCCGAAAAAGCTACATTCCGTTTCTGTGCTTAACAATTTGCGACGGCGACGACAATGTTAGACTTTATTTCCTGTGTTCTGGTCAATTTTAACGCGAGCTTCTGGTAGTGACATTCGAACTCCCCTTTCAGCAATCAGTATTAGACCTTGAACTCGAAGGAAATTGTGTAAGATTTAGCCGACATGCACGGTTTGGTTGATCACGCCGTGTTTGTACCTTGGAGGACACATAATTGCAGCGCTTCACATACGGAAAACATTGGAATTTCTGCAAGTTTTGCCTCTAGGAGCGGACACAAATTTCCTGGGTTGCCTCATTGGAGATTATTGATATACATGTTGTATTAGTTAATTATTGTTATGTTCAGTGTCAGGAAGTCACTTTTGACTTCCTTCGCAAGGATGGACCCATTTCTCAATACTCCATATATACAGTAGACAGAAGCCAGTCTAAATAATAGAGCATTCCCAGGAAGAAAACTCTGTGTTCGAGGACTGTGTTACTGGATTCACAGTAAGGCTACGTCACATTTACTGAGACGAACAAACATGACTAAACGCATGAAATGTCGACCGAAATTCCAAAGCATGCTTCCGATTAGAAAAAAAGCGTTCAGATAGGGTGGCAGTATTGATTATCATGCAGCATATTCCCATAAAGTTTTAGTTATGCCGAGAGGCCGTCTTTCGAATGTACTTCCTTTCGACGGCTGCAAAACCATACTTGCCATAAAGTGGCTACTTATAAGTGTGAATGTTTCCTGCGAAACTTCGATATCTTTATAAAATCAAGTACATTTTATGAAATTCCATGCACGAAAAATTCCGTCTTATTTCGTTTGATAGAAAATTCATCTCTTTAACTTTTATAGACGAAGAACACGTATTTTTAATACGAAAAGTTTTCAATTTCCGAACAAGTTTGAGCTTGATCTGCCACTGCATTTGCGTTTGGGTTTACATTCTATAAAGCTTATGCTTTTCAGGTAAGGATGCTACACAGGACTCCTAAAATGTGACTCAGTGTATGAGAACTGTGTGACATACTTCACAAAAACATCAATAAACAGACCAGTCTAAAGTGACGCTTCGTAGTCTTAAAAATCTCTAATTGCGGATTTTCCAGACCATGAATATCACTTTTTGTGTATGCTTTTTGAAGACGACGTGCGTTTTTAGCAAATGGGTACAAGCAAATAGAGTTTCGATCATTTAAAGAAAATCCAAGAATATATGGCCAAAATTTACTCTATATGTGCAGCCATTTTATGACGGGTGCGGTTTATGCAGGTAGTCGCAAATAAATTCTTTCAAAAGCGGGCGTCCTAAAATGACTCAAATATCTAGGAATAATACTTCAAAAAGACATTATCATAACTCCACCCAAGTAGACGTTCTAAATCAAAAAGGCATTTTAAAATTTCGGTTAATATATCAGGAGACTGATCGGTGACTGTTGTAGTATTCAGAGGTGCCGCCGACGTAAATGACACCAAAGTTGGTTCTGGTACTCGAGTGCGACGACACGAATAGCCTGCTGTATGAGTGGTTAGCTTCAACGGGTATCTACCTAACCACGCATTTGGAGCAGTTTTAAACATCATATAGACAGGTCAGTAGTATCGGTTTTTTGAGTGAAATCAGTGAATATAGAACGAAGACACTTAACTGAACTCAATCCGCCATCCAAACTGAAAATAAGCGTTTCTAACAGTGCAGCGTGAGGAAAGGCGGATGAAGGTGAAGTAGCTTGACCCCCAGAATAATAGGCGAATTTGCTTTACCTTTAGAATCAGTGCATTATGTAAGATTTCTTAGTTTATGTGATGTTCACAATGTCCTAGCAAATATTTCACTGACTGCTCTTAATTAAATCGACTGACTAACGTCTACCTTATTTAGATGGAAATATGTGCGGGTTATAGAGATTTCTCAGTGTCCAACCTACAAATGAGCGACCACGAACCAGTAATTTCGAAAGCTAACCGTCATATTCTGTTTATGCTTCCCTATTCGCAAAAATATTTCTTTGATTTTACTTGGGACAGTGAATGTCTGTCCCAAGAGAGACCGACTTTTTCTTTGTTTATTAATGCTGATTTATGGCACTTTCCAATTTCTACGCCAGTACGTCCATAAAGGAAACAATTTCCCGCATCATCTCATACTTCATATTAAGAAAACCGCACCGTTGCTTTTTTAAGTCATTGTTTTGGGAAATTTTGCTAAAAATTATGTTTGTCTTAAAATCAAATGGTGTTTTGCCCCCATAACTCGACTTTCTGTGGCTTGTTTAAGCGCGATGTCCCAATTAATATCTTAATTGCACATGAAATTTTTCCGATGCGTTTTAAGGAAATTTTGAGGATTGACAGACGGCTGAGTATTCGAAAAATGTATCGGCCTAACTGTTGCTTGCATCAGCCCATGAAAATAGAGTAGAGAGCGAATGGCGGAGTTGACGAAAGTTTTATAAACTACTTCAGCTGATACTGACAACGAATTTCGGGCAACTAACTGCAGGTCATTGTTGGGTTATCCCATTCCAGTGCACCAAGTTTTCACAGGTCAGAACAACTACCCGAGGTAACTGGGGGGTCCCATTTATATTTTGCATGGATAACATTATTAGTTCTAATTTTAAAACGATTGAGAAAGTGATACGCACTCTGCTCACACTGCCTTGAGGGAGACGCTTGCGGCATTTAGTATGTAGTCCCTAAAAATGTGCATCCATTTTACTGGCTTGTATTTTTATCTAAAAATAATTGGACAATCTGTAGCTTTGTATACTTTACTATAATTTGTACTATTCGCTAATAGGAGGTCTAATGCGGCCATTTGCTAGCTCTGTCAGTGTTGCTAGTAGAAACACAAATGAATTCTATGTCCTCAAATAAGCAAATAGTCCTGGCTTATTTTGAAATGCAGGTATGTGATAATCTGATAATTATTTCAAGGAACGTTTTTCGTTCAAACGATACAACAGCGGCACTTAATCCCCCTAGTCCGCGGACTGATTCCTGTTATATCCCTGAGCCCATGTAGAGGTTAATCTAATCTTACTCTATGCAAAAATACTTTTGTTTAGTAGTTTAAAAAAATTTTCCCAACAGACTATAATAATGGACATGCAGCAAAGTCGAAGTAAAATTAGTAAATCACCAGGATTTTCAATGTAATGTCAAAATCTCTAAACAGCGGTTAATACTGCGTGCCCCCAGGATCACTAAGAAACATTATCCGGTTACTTGCAGAAAGAAAATGTAAGTTAGGAATTTGCCGATTTGGATTCCTTCGCTGTTATTGGTCCTAACCACTTGACGAATCACCACACCCAGCGGACGAGTGCTAGTCCGATTAAACCTCTTATGAATAAGAAAACCTCATCACTTGCACTCCACGCCTGTTCTTTGCTGTGCAGACTTGTGCATATTTTGCCCCAGAAAAGGGCAGAAAATGACAAAGTTCCCCGAAATTGACGACCCTGGTTTACGAACAATGGAGACTATAGTCTCCATGGAGGAGCTATCATCAAAGCCACCCGATGCCGACAAACACAGTTGTTGCGGCTGCTGCAAGAAGAAGAAGAAGAGGACTGAGTGTCCCAAACCTCCTGATTCCCCGATGCGATATGCATGCGTGCGCAAGTGCACAGCGGTGACCTGTTCACTCCTGGGACTATTGTTTGCCATTGTGGTTTATCTGTCCCTTGGCTCGGTCCTCTTTCGTTACCTTGAGCGTGATGCTCAGCAGGCCAGGCTGGCGAAGGGAATGCAACTGCTGAACGAGACGTTTGACAAATATAATCTACAAGGAAGGGGTATACAGAGGAGATCGACTTACAAGGACACCAGGACTGTGGAGAAACACCTGGCCTCCTACTGCTTGGACCAGCAATTCGAGGCCGTCATCGCGGAACTAAATCGACTCGTAGCAAAGAAAACCGATTTGAAATCGCGTGTTGCAGAGGTGACTCAGTTGCGCGAACGGGCCGGCAAGGTGACTGTGTCCGAAAATAGCACCGACGAGTTGGAACAGCTGGCTGAAGCATTGAGTGTTTCACTGAGTGAGCAGATAGAAACGTTCGCCCTCCTGCTTAACGAGCACAAGCAGGTGCCTTTGAGGTCGCGCAGAATCCAAGACTTTGCTTCCGCGGCTGTTGTGCTGAACAACGTTTACAAAGCCGTACTCGCCGGCTGGCGGCCGTCGAACTCTCCGAAAATAAAACTTTTCCCCTCAACCTCGATACAGGAGGGTCCAATGCCGAGGTCATTCGGAGGGGATACGGCGCTAACGCCTTCCGAGTTACCGCCACCATTCGATAAGCATACCACAAGAACGGATCCATGGACGTACAGTGGAGCACTGTTCTATGCAGTCACTGTAATTACAACTATTGGTGAGTGTACTCGGTTGTAAAAAAAAACCAAAGCATCCCAGTGAGTCTATTAAACACAAGCCTCCTAGTACGGGACTGGGGAAGTATCCAGTAAATTTCTTTAGCAACAGTCATTTTGCTTTGTGACAGTAAGTATTTCCTTGAATTCACCCGATGTTTATTCAAGTAAGCGGAGAACACTAATCAGTGACCAATCTCATGCGACGCCAATCAAAATTTCGTAATGCGCCTTCGATAAGGAATAGTTAGTCGAGTAAGGTTATAATACTGACTATCATGTGGTATGCTCCCAAGATATTTCATCATGCCACGTGCCGGATTCTGAATTCTCTTTTTGGCTGCGTGCAAGACGATACTCGATGATAAATGTTCACTTAAGTAGTAGAAAAGTTTAAGTTGATTTAAGTGCCTTTTCAAATATGCTTTATGAAAAGTGCCGTTGAAAATACTCCGCTTGCACCCGTTTTCTGACACATCACGTCTGTTGCAAATCGTTTACTCCAAAAAGGTGTAGTTCAGCTGTTATAAGGGGATTTTCAACTTTTGTCTAACTTTGAATTCGACATACCGTCCCATTAGCGTTAAGGGTCTAAAGTCTAAAAATTGCATATTTTCAATATACAGAAAAGCACACATTCCTCTGTGCCATTGAGTCGATACCGTAGAGGAGTCAAAATGTTGTGCTGTTGCCCCTATACACACTGACGAAATTTAAGTCGGTGAATGTGCGCTTTCGACTATTTTTCGTCAGGCCAGTATGCTAATATAAATCTAGACAGAGCAGCGAACTTCGAGAAGTAAAACAGCTTATGAGCAGTAGTCATAGCTTGGGGTAGATGTGTTCAGATTTGTGGGGCAGAGGGATAATTAAAGGCCAGTTTCTGTCAGTGATACGGCAACCGCACCATTGCACGTCGCGCTACAGCGACGAAGCATAAGCACAACTGAGTCAGACTACCCTACCTCTTCCCGTACCACCGATAGAAACTAGATTATACTCATTCCGCTGTCTAACAAGCCTGAACACATTTGCCCCACGTTATGGCTACTGTTCATGAAATTTTGTGTCGGATGCAAACAGTGTTGCGTACTTCATGAGAAGCAATTTTAAACATATAAGTGCGATGTTATTCGAACAGACATTTCACGGTCTTATAAAGTCTTAATTACGGAACTTTTAAACATAACTTACCGTTTATTCAAATATTACATTAAGGGAAGACATGACCTGCTACAGAATAAATACATAATTCATGTCTTCAATGATTTTTTATAAATTATGTTAGAATTCAGAAAGACGCCGAAATCGAAGAAAAATTCATGCGACATAAGAAGTCATTTTTTGCCGGGTTTGGTTTTTGCAAACGACCAAAAGAACGGAATCTGTCACCCTGGCGTGAATAAAATTTCCTGGGATTTTTTTGAGCGGTACTGCCTACAACTCCATGATATACTGATTGTACTAAGCAATGTCCCATCCATATAGGATGGTTTTGCTCACAGCTTATACGTAATATTGGCTGCCACTTACCACTTTTGAAGTCCATTTTAGTTATTCTGCTCATGGAAACATATCATTCACTACGCAATGTCTATTGGCTGTCATAACAAAAATTAAAAATCAATGGCAACTAATAACATCCATCTAGGCATAGCCATTTATTTGATATGAAAGGGGCCAACTACACATTCAGTCAGAAATGGCCTCCACCTGTCCATTAGCTTTCTAAAGTAACCAAACCCATATGAGCGACGGAGTTCAGAAAACTCGACCACCTGCCGGACCTAACTCTGTCAAGCTCTGGTAGAAAATGTGCAGTAACAGAGAAAGCCTTGTTAAGGGGCACTGAACTTCGGTCCAGTGAAATGCTTATGGCTCCCCTGCTCTATCTCGTCTGTGGACTATCTGCTCCATAGTTTGCTCAATATCTTCTTTGGCGAAAACAGTCAACAGGGCAGAAAAACAGTAGCTTGGCAAATTTTTTGAATTAAATTAAGCTACATTGTGTGGTCATGTGTCCATGATAGGTCAAAAAACTGGAGGCTTCGATTAACTTACGATTTTAGGGCGTTCAAACGCAACAGAGAACTAGCCCGATAATTTCTATGCTCCCCTTCCCCTGTGGGTGTGAGGCTTTAATTCACCTAAGTGGAAAAGGAGCACACAGTCAAGACTGTCTGGTACCTTAGGAAGTGTTGTTACGTATGCAGTTTCTAGGACCGAATTCCACTACTCACACTGCAATATGGGTTAGCAGTTTGCGCCATAAGGCACACCGATTGAGCGATACCCTGTGCCAGAGCGGGCTGAGAGTGAGATATGCAGTTTTTTTTGGCCAAAATCTTGGATACTGTCTGGGTTCCTGTTACATTTAACCGAATTTCTGTGGAAGTGGCAAAAAGCCAGACAGCCAAGTGATCCCTCCTTTGCCATTCACGCTCCTTTCAGCTGCCGCTGATTTATGTAGTCTTCAGCCCGACCCATCATCTCGGCCACGCCAAAAGCAAGGTCATCCTGTCTTTCAGCCTAACCATTACATGTGTTTTTGATTTTCTCTAACCCCTATCTGCATCTCTTATGCAGTCCCTTCTAAGCAGTCTCGTACCACAAAACTTCACTGAGATTGGCAATCAACGACTGATCCTTTCTGTTACGAAATTAGGTCCTTGGAGAGTCCCCACTGCTGGCAGCGTTGGCGAGGGATGAAGGGGTGATTCCTATATAGAGTAGCGCAATGAATCGAGCTAGGAATTCTGAGACGCTGTTTACGTACCGACTACTCTGTCAATTGAAGCGAAGAGCCGAGTCCCAGGAAGTAGTCTTGAAGAAAGAGACAGGATCGCCGGGACAAGAGCTTTATTAGCCTGACGTTTCAGATCCCTGTTCGAATCCATCATCAGTGACAACAGCAGATACAGGCGATTCACGCACAAGGGGCTGCGGTATTTATAGGATGCAGCAGCCATGCTACCGCATACCTATGAACGTTCACGGCTTCCCCCTTCATCCGGGATTGTCACACTTGGGGTGATCATCGCTTGATGGCCGACATTCGAGTCGATAATTGCCGCAATTTCATCACGTGCGTTGGATGTTGGCGTGATGATTGCTCGACCATCTGATGCGTTGACCCGGGTGTTGGGAAGAGTGTTCACCAGTGCGCTCCCCGCGTGGCCAATTACTCCGCCTAGACGAAGTCTCAGCACGCTGTATTGAATGGGAAGATCGTTGCACTTGTTGATGGACTGGGGGCCAGTAAACCATGATTCCAGTAGCTCCCGGCTCACTCGGTTGTCACCTCTTGCGAGAATTTCGGCCTCGTCGAATTTAAATGTGTGGCCGGGTCTCGTCGAATGAGCGGCAACTTGAGAGCTGGCGTCATTTCTGCGCACCGCTGCCGCGTGTTCGGCCATTCTCGTTCGGAGCTGTCTTCCGGTTTCTCCGACGTAGTTGCTTTGTGATCATTGCTTGATGGCCGACATTCGAGTCGAGTCGTCAGATGGTCGAGCAATCATCACGCCAACATCCAACGCACGTGATGAAATTGCAGCAATTATCGACTCGAATGCCGGCCATCAAGCAATGATCACACCAAGTGTGACAATCCCGGATGAAGGGGGAAGCCGTGAACGTTCATAGGTATGCGGTAGCATGGCTGCTGCATCCTATAAATACCGCAGCCCCTTGTGCAACAACCACCCGTTTCTGCTCTTTTGTCTCTGATGATGGATTCGAGTAGGAATCCGAAACGTCAGGCTAATAAAGCTCTTGTCCCGGCGATCGTGTCTCCTTCTTCACGACTACTCTGTCATGAACTAGGGGTTGGTCCGATACATACAAGGGACAGCGCTCCGGAGAGAATTTGGCTGTTCCGCGTTTGTTTGCGCATGTGCCGTCAGTAGCTACCCCTTTTCAATAAAACCACCAAAGAATATGCGGCAGGTCGGTATGTTAGGGTCCTAGTCGTCGAAAAAACGTCAGGTTGGTTTTGGATTAGAACCGCCACGACGCAGGAAAATCAGTGGAGTCAGTTACTGTGCTTAAATGAGGACGGAAAAGTTATGTAACATTGCTCATTAAAGCCAACCAGCGAGCAATTTAAAGACCATGTAAGTTCAAAGTTCCCCTGCCAAATTATATGCTCCTCCGTGAAACCGGGAACCAAGCAAAAATGAGTCATTGTAAACGTGATACTGATGATGAGATGATTCAGTTACGCACCGTTTGTTAATGTGTGTTTTGCCAGAAATTTGCCTGTACCTAGGTCTTCCACTTTATGTCTTGAATTCGAATCCCACCAAGTTCGCCGAGCTTTTCACAATCGTGTCGATATGGACTTTCCGAAATCTGTCAAAACACCTACAGTACCTGTGCTAACTCATGAAATCTCATGAATTAACACAGGTAAACGACTTTAACGCAGAATCGGTAAATACTACGGCTCCCAACGTCCGACAGCGGAAAATAAAAAATGTGTCAAAGAAATAAAGTAAAGTTTGGTTTAGAAAATATTGTTTACTGAGATAAAAATAAATAATTTTCGACAGAAGTCACATTTTCGAGAAACACCTTTATTACAACCAAGTTAATAAAGGCTACGTATGAGGGCGTATAAAGGAGGAGGGCGCATAAAAGGGCCTGAGCCCGGCAGTCATCTGGTGGATACTATGTGGATTGCTAGGGAAATCCTGCCTGGATGGTCAGTTTACTGTATCAGATTTGGTGGATGCAAGAGTTTACAGTAGGCTGGGCGAGTAACCTGAGCTCACGTCTTTCAATGGTGTCCCATATTTCAGGTGGTTAGAGCGCTGGCTGTACTCAAGCTTTCCCCTCACTGTTGGGGCTTCGAATCCCACCAGCGTCTTTGAATTTTCACAGTTGGGTTAAAATAAACCATTTAGAATCCTCCAAAACACCTATAAATTATTAAACCTATGATTTGACAGGTCATATTTTTGATGAGTTCCAGACCACTTTTGTTCACACGCATCCACTCTTCCGGTATATGTTTAAAGACAGATGCCGCATAAATGGCCTAGAATTGCAGCCACTGACGTCGAAACTCGTGTCACATTACTTCATAAATCTCGCCTGAATGAATCAACCAGATTGCCAGTATGCAAAAGTGACACCGCAATGTGTAAACAAATATGTCTGGCTAGTGCAATCGAGCACATTATTAGATTTTCCTGGAGTACAGATTTCTAAAAAGACTGCGATCTAGGAATCGCCTGACCAGCGTAATCTACAATAACTACACAAATATGTCTAGACGGCATTATGCTGACTTGGGCAAACAGGCTTATTTTGCTAATAACTTTGATCAGCGATTAATGTCGGTTTTTGCTGCAGTTGGAACAATTAGTCCCCTGCTATGTCTGCAAATTGGCCGTTTCCGGACCATTTTAAAGAGGCATACTTGCTGATTCGGCCCCATTTTTTCATTACAAATCACTGCAGAGTAGTTTGGGTAACGTTGTTTTGTTCCTACACAGAGTTTTTGAAAACCCATGTTATTATTAGGCGATTTACTTCATGCCGTTTCGTTTTAAATGTTTTGCTAGATACTGCTTTCCGGTAACCAAAAGTGGCAAAACATGTACTATGAAGTACCTGAACGAAGGTTGTCAAATTTAATTTATGACATTTTGCTGTAGCGTTAACATTAGAGTTTTTTATTGAGGGCACGGTGAAAATTTCGTGCCAAAAAAAACATTTTCTAGAAACGTTGTTTTGTTTTGCCTTGAAAAAATTGCCGCTGAGATTCATGGCTTACCCGGAAAAGTCAATGGTGAACAGGCTTTCTCTGTAGGAATAGGTAGGAAGTATTCTGAATCCCTTAAAGGTGGCAAACGTTCGGGACGGTGGGAAAAATTTGAATTTAAAGGATAGGAAAGCGTTAATCCATCAAGATCCATGGCAAACGCTTGACGAAATGTCATATTTGATATATTTGGATTTGGTACATATACTTTTTGTAGGGATTTACATGCATAGAAAATAGCATGAAAACAAGAATTTGAGTATCGCATGAATCGGCTGACAACGAGAAAAGTATAAAAGCCTACCGGAAATATTTCTTTCAGGGCGTGATTGACAATGACAAATGGAGCTGTTACGATAGTCTTAAACGTAAAGTTTCCGGACGCTGCCTGGTAATCTATCGGCATAAATCCCAAAGGCGAATATTCATGGGAGCAAAATGATGTTGTGTATCGATCGGAATCAAATAGGGGTAGTGCATTACTTGTCGCCGACGCCTTCTGAAACTCCGGGCGATATCAACAAAAGTTTATGAATTTCAGTCCAAAAACGTCAATAAAAAGGACAGAATATGGTGAAGAATGTGATGTGATTTTGCCACATGAAAACGCTAGACCCCATTTTACACAGCCAGTGAGGGAAACTTTGGAAGCATATCGTTACTAAGTCTTACCCCACCCGTCCAATTCACCAGGCATTGTTTCGTCACATTATCATTTGTTTCGGTTGATGCAACACAGTATTACCGACCAGCGATTCAAGTCCTGTGAGAAAATCAAAAATTGGCACGATCATTGGATTGCTCCCAAATTTCATCCTTTTTTCCTCCGCGAAATCCACTTGCTCCTTAAAGATGGGAAAAGGTTATAACTGCCAAGCGGACAGCATTCTGAATATGCTATAATATTTAGCCATCTTTAAGTAAATCCTGCTTGGGCAGTCAACTTACTGTATCAGATTTGGTGGATTCCAGACGTTGCAGTAGGTTGGGCGGGTAACTTGACCCAAATTTGATTAAACTCGCGTCGTCCGGCGGGGCCTCGTAGCTCACGTGGTTAGAGCGTTGCCTGTATTAAAGCCTTCTCCTTACTGCGTGGGTTCGAATCCCACCGAGGCGCCGAGTTTTTCACAGTTGGGTCAATATGAAATATTATTCTCTTGCAAATAAACGGCACGGACCAATTCCCACTTCCAGTGTAATTTATGCTTGCAACATCTTTTAAATCAGCTGTACTGACCGCACACGTATTTATTAGTTCATCCTCCATGCAAAGACTTAGGCTCCTAGTTCAAAATTTTTTAACTCTTTACAGTTTCATTACGGTGACATGATTAATCACTACAACGCCTTGTGTTTATAGAAACCCTTAGTAGTTTGAATCAGGACAACCACTTTCTGAAATCTCAGTTTTTCTTAATCACGGAAGTGAAACATATGGACAGTATTTTATTACCGAGAAAGGCAAGGGAGACCGGAGTGACCATTTCTGGTTTATTAGCCGTCGTCAGCCAGTCATACCCAAGCCCGAAGTGTGGAACACCCGAAGTTGGAACTCGCGGCCTGTCGTTTAAAGTCCACGCCCTTAACCACTGAGGCACGGGCCCGTTTTCCTGTCGGTTTCGATCGGGAATATACAATGGTAGGGGGCACTCACCGATCGTTCTTACGGAACTCACTTGTTCCTTTGTGCCTTACGGACTCCCTCTCTCGAGTCCAACCAGCAGCCGCACAGCGGCGCATGACACAGGCAGTAACCAACAGGTCGCGAGTTCGAGCCTCGGGTATTCCAAACTTCGGGGTTGGGTATGACTGGCTGGCGACGGCTAGGAAGCCAGAAATAGCCATTCCAGTCTAACTTGTCTTTGTCGGTAATTCTTTTCTGCCAAAACACCTAATCAACACAAAAAGGCTTCTTCTTTCCTTAATTTTGATATTTACCAAATCTTGAAATCATTGTTCAAGACAATATGGTATAGAGACAGTCAGATGAATGTATAGCGAATTCGGAAGGAGGTGTGATACTGGCGACGGTTGCACGTCCAAATGAAGCTCATTGACATACTTCCGTGTTTCAAATTAAAGACACGGCCGTTGAAAATGCAGGTTATTATGACCTCCTCCTCTTCCCTCCATCTCTTCCTTCTCCTGCCATTACCAGTTTCCTTCTCAAAAGAAGTCTCGTTTAAATCATATGCAGTTGTTTTATGCCCCCCAATTGTCTTTCCATTATTTCAGGATACGGCCAAATCGTTCCAACCACTACCTTGGGAAAGGTGTGCACTATCATCTACGGCTTCTTTGGGATTCCGCTAATGCTGCTATTTCTGGCCAACCTAGGCAGCCTTATGGCAGATTTCTTCCGCCTCGGCTACTTTCACCTATGCCGCTGCGGTAGAGATAAGGGAGGACAAGTTCCGGCGCAGAAACCCCTACCAAAAACTCCTCTGGCCAAGGCCTCGCAGGCCGAGAGGGCCCGCCATGCCTCCGCCGGCCAGGTGGTGGACGGCAAGTCAAGACAGGGTCGCAAGACCACAATCATGGCCTCGGCAGCACTGCGCGCCGGGTCATCATCGCCGGCTCTCCGCGATCGACCCGGCCGCACCCACATGACACCACCAGCTACGCGGGCCCTACACCATCTCGTGCAAAAACCCTCCCTGCCCGGGATCACTGACAGCCTTTTTATATCTCTGATGGGCACCAATTCAATCTTCGCGCGGGCTGCCCGCGCCCGTCAACGCAGTCGAACAGTCCGTGTACCCATCTTGATCACCCTCTTCATCTTCTTTGTCTACCTCTTCACCGGAGCGGTCATCTTCTCGCATTGGGAGAACTGGTCATTCACGGATGCCACCTACTTTGTCTTTGTGACTATCTCGACCATTGGCTTCGGTGACCTAATTCCTGGTATGGAAGATTTCGATTTTGGTAGACAAACGCAGAAATTTTTGGCGGCTATCACCTACCTACTCCTCGGGCTGGCCCTGGTCTGCATGTGCTTCGATCTGATGCAGCGAGAGTTGAAGCGAAAGTCCAAGAAGTTGGCCCAACGCATCGGCTTACTTGACAGTCAGTAGAGAAGGGTGTTATGGTTCTACGACGAGTCTACGTGAGCCTTCGTTTTGTGACATACTGCAAGATTTCACGATTCAAGAACTGTGCATAATTGTCCAGGCCTCAGCGAGGTCTCAAATTCGCTTCCATTTTGCCATGCCAAAAGTCACCTATATTCTTTATTTTGCTCAAGGAATAAATGCCTTATCCCTTCTTTTCTGCCTAGTTTATGGACTGGACAGTAGTTATTCGAGACAAGTTGACGATTTGCATCCTATCTTACTACTGATAATTTTTTGAATGAGATGAAATACCGCCTTAGGAGATGAAGAGCTCTTCCCCGGAAGAAAGGAACTAACCTGTGAAATGCTAGGATATATATATATCATTACCAAGTTATAATCGTTTTACAAGGCTGAAATTCATAAAAATTAAAAAGACTTCAATTTGAATGCCTGATCTGCTTGATATCTGGAAACTACACTTACTGCAAAATAACATAAAATTAGGAAAACTACATTGCGAGAAAATATTCTTAGGGGCGCAATCGACAACAAGGCGTCCGCCATAACGCTCGTTTTATCTTGCCAGACGAATAGGGTATTTCGAGCAACTGAATACCCAGTTTTTAAGGACGCGACAAACACGACATCATTCGAAACAAGGAACAGGTCCAAGTTACTTTGTGCACGACAGAATACTAAATTTTGTGCATATTTTTGTTGACAGTTGCGTGGACTATGCTCTGGTAAAACCACTTCATGTCTAATTTTTCCGTTTATTTTTGTGAGCTATATCAACCCATGAGAAATTCATTTCTGTCACTTAATTTGTAAGATGGTGCGTAGCTTTTAAATTTCTATACTTTCATGGAAGTAGTCATTTCTTATTTAGAAACGTTCACATTTGTAAGAACGCTTGGGAGGCCAGCAAAGCATTACTGTTATCCTCTTTCACTGTTGCTGTACATAAAGTGCAAAAACTGTTTGGGTGTTTATAAACACCAAAAATCCTCCTCGTGGCAATGGCCATAGATATGTGGGTTATTAAGTCGAAACAGATGGCATGCTGTTTGACCACCGTAGGTTTGGGTGGAAATGTAGGTTTCCTTCTAAAATGTGCATGCCTCAGCGAAGCCCGTTAGAACCATAATGAAAACTTCGTTTTCAAGTTCTTTTGTCGTGGTTTTCTGACAAACGGGTATATTAACCGAATTTGCCGTGCATCATTTCTAGGACGTTTGATTTAATTTATTTGACTTGCTCTCCTAACGATTGATTTTGTAACCACGTCCAAGTATATTTTTCTACTTGGAGATAGGCTGGAAACTCACGATCAGTGTTTAACCAGGTTTCGTGCACACCGTATGTATGAAAACTCGCGAATGTTTAATTGATGGCTTTTTTGAAGTAAAAGCATGATGTTATTAGGAAGAATTCGTTTGCTTCAGGCAAACCTTTTCCCATCTTTCAGTCAATTTTTGGTCTGATCATGTCGAAAATGATCTAATTTTGATCATACACACCTTACTTTAGACCATAAAGCCGACCTATCGATTGGGACGTACACTTAAGAAATGGACCGTCTGGCATTCCGTTCTTTCTCTTCAGACATTGATTTTCTGATGCCTTTAAGAATTTCATAGAGGGTGTTAAGAAAAATCCGAATTTTCATTTGCAAAATAACATTAACCACCAGGGGCAAAGTAAAATAATGCCATTTGTTCGAACATCAAATAGCCATCTTGACCAGGCGAGCTGAACGGGTAACTCGTAAGTGAAGTGCAGCTCTGAAGCCAGAACAACCCGGCCGGGTAATTTACATGAAGTATTTTTTGCTTAAATTCAAAATTAAGGCGGCTATGTTTACATTGCATTTCCGTAGTCTTCAAACATATTGTTTTTTGTTTAAACGTCAGCCCAGGACACTACTTCATAGCGCCCTGATTTGCAAACTCCAAAGCACACGTACGCAAAGTGGTGCTAATTCATCGAGTTTTTTACTCTCTGCAGAAGGCAAAAATCATAGTTTCTTAAGAAGCATGTTTTATAGCTTCGAGATGTGACAGAGAAACATTTGTTAAGTACACTGTCTTACAGGATGCTTTTTAACCGACCTGTTCTTCCTGCTAAAAGAATACTGAAGCTATGCAAAGAACACAATTATGCGAAAATAAAACATTCATAGGTTATGCGTCGTGTAGCTTTAGGGTTTCCTCTCTCTCTCAACACTTAAGATTTATTGCGGCCCACACTAATCCCTTAACACCGAACGTCGTCAAACGATTTACGTTGTAAGCTCAGCTAAAAAGTTCAGTTACTGGATCGGAAGACTTTTGGCAGCCAGCTGTTTCTAACGCCTGACTTTGTCCTTTTTAGTAATATCGCAAGTTCATGAGTGGGTAAAACTAGCGAGAAGTGAGTAGTTTTAATGATACGGACAAGTAAGTATGCTTTTGGGGGGATTTTGGGGTAATCTGAGTTAATATATCATTATGACCGTAAGCTTCTGACCGCTTAGCAGAGGCACGACCATTGAAATGTCTGAAAGGAAGTTAGGCAACGGTAGGTTGTGTAACCCCACGCTCGTGTAATACAGGAATGTTGGTAATAAGGGTTTTACGGGTGGGGCATCAATGAGAGGGGGGAGCGAAATTCATGCATTAAAACTTAAAAATATGTAGATTTTCGTTGAGATTCTTTTTCTAAGCCTATATGTAGCAATGACAGTGAGCGCGCTGGATGAAAAATAAACAATAAACAATCCCCAAAAAGTAAAAGGTGATCAAATAAGCCGCCACTTGCAACTTTGTGACAGCCCATAAAGCAGAGGAATGAACAACCAATAAAAGAGAAGAACGGTTAGTGACAAATAATTCAATTGCGGATATAGACTGCGAGGCGGCGTACTGCACATGAATATTAGAGAAGCTATGAAAATACACCCTAAGGGACAAGGGAAAATTCAAATAACGTAGAAAAAAACGCCTTTTTGTATCTTCACATTAAATCGATCGATTACCGCAAAATGAAAATTCAAGGATAAAAATATTTATATGTAAAGTTTATGTATAATAATGAAAAGGGTAGGTGATATAATGGTGGTTATTTCGCGTTAGCACACAGACAATGAGCTCCAGACCGCAGGAAAGTCAGGCAACCGAAGCTTCGCCTTCCGATCAGAGCGAAGTAAATAGCCGAGGCTTTAAACTCTAAGATGGTAGATTACTGCCAAGCAAGGCCAATGTGCATACCAATGGATACGTGTTCCGGGGGGCTCAACGTCGCAGGAGGAAAGCTCTAGTGGTTCCGGTGTCGCATCGGGCAATATGATCCCGTGTAGAGGGAGTTTAATATTGTCTGCGGTTAAGCCTAGACAACGTTGGCCTAAAACAAGCCTGTGCATTATCCCTGTAACATATTGTGGAAGCATAGCCGGTGCAATAGCTTCCCGAGCAGAGGACTTACAAGGCTCTTTCCTGAACGCAATTTAGTGACCATTTTTGCAAACAGACTCAACTGAATTTAACTGTCTTATTACTGGTTATGCAATAGACTACGCACAGGTATTCCCGAAGAACTAAGTAAGCCATGGCATACGCGTTCGACAACAGGCACCATTCGGAGATATTGAGGAAGCTGGGCGTTTGTGATCTAACCGAGGCGAAGTAAATTGAAACTCACGATGACCCTCATAGCACGCGTGAGTGCCGAAATGACACATAAAGGTTAGGTTGGTCTTTTCGAAGAAGTAAATAATTCACGGCGTACATGTCCAACAACGGAAACTGGTTGCAGATATCGAGGAAGTCGAGAGCATGTGCTCTAACCGAGGCGAAGTAAGTCAAAACAGCACGCATTGCGTTTTGAGTATAGCTATGACACAAAAAGGTACGGTAGGTGGGCTAACTCATGAAATGCCAACCGTAATTGAGAAATGCGTTTTGTTTCGAAAAGGTTAATTAGGGTTGTAAAACAAATAATCGTGAAGCATAAGTCTATAATAATTCAGTTACCTCAGGATGCTGGCTTACGTACAAAATTCTTTCTGAAGCAAGCAAAAACTACACTCAGTAAAAAATGACTGCTTAAGTAGCATGAATTTTTCTCATTGATTTCCGATGCCCTCCAAAATTGGATTATATTTCACGGAAGGCGGTAATAACTATATTCATTTTTTTACTCATTCAGTAGAAAATGACGTTCTCTTCCAATTGTATACTCTAAGGAAGTGAATAATTCAGTTTTTAAAAACTTTTCCAATTCCCGAAAAATTCTGAACCCCACCCGCTGTTAGACTCGCAGTCAGGGTTTCAAAACTACAAGCCGTATACTTTCCGCGTACGAAAGTCCATACATTCCTGTACGGTATTAAGAGGAGACCATATGGGTTTCATAAAATTTGGCGCGGGATTTAAGCCATATTGTACACTCTACAAGCCGGGTTAGCAAATGCAGACACACAATGTTTAATGAACAGGCAGTTCACGGTATTAAAAAATCTCATAATTAGAAACTTTTTGGAAACCGAATTATACACTTCCCTAGAGTGTAAAATTGGAAGAAAACGTCATTTTCTACCGAATGCGTAAAAGAATGAATTTAGTTATGACCTCCTTCCCTGAACTATAATTGAATTTTGATGGGCATCGGAGATCAATGAGAAAAATCCATGCTACTTAAGTAATCACTTTTTGCGAAGTATAATTTTTGCATGCTTCAGAAAGAATTTTGTTCGTAATCCGGCATCCCGAGGTAACTGAATTATTATAGATTTTTTCTGCACGATTATTCGTTTTACAACCCTACTTAATTAATATTTTCGAAACAAAAACGCATTTCGCAATTTCGGTCGACATTTCATGAGTCAGCCTACCTATTGTATAGCTACCCCTTGGAAGAGACGGACTACAGAGAGGGGGGCAAAAACCGAAGGTCAAATCATACCAAATAATTTAGTACTAAAAAGGTTACACTGAAACAGCTCGATGCTCGTAGTTATATAAGTGTGCTATGTAAAATTC